CTTAGGTAACTCCTAGGCGGCCGGGTTTTTACAAAAAAACCCTTTTCAAAACCTTTTTCCCAAAATCCGTTTCATTTCTTTCAAATCAATTTTTCCCATCCATGCCCAATGATATGCATGAATGTCTCATGCTTTCCAATGCCATGTCAAATAAAGGATTCTTACAATTCACAAGTCAACCTAGGATTTTTATATTTCACAAATCAACACACTTCCATATTGCAAATTCTAGCAAATTAAACACAATAAGCATGGAATAGAATCATTTAAACATGCTTTCTAAAACAACATCAACTACATACACATAATCATATCTTAAACACAACATTTGGCAAATATCTCATGAAATATATACAAATTAAGCATGTTATAACACAATTTATGAAGGAGTAATTCACAAAAATCTAAGAGATTGTAAATTAAACACCCCTACCCCAAAATGATGAAAACCCCCCAAATCCAAGCCCTAGGTTCGAAATTTCAATGTTGGCCAAACAAGGAATTGCTTGTATTAAAGCGTAGATCTCGCCGAGCTCTTCGTTTTGCCGCAAACAGCACCAAAAATCTCTTAAAAATGAGAGAGAAATTAAAGTTTGAGGCTTGAAGCAAAAAGGAAAAAGAAAAAGAAAGAAAAAATGAGGGAGAGAGAAAAGAATGAGGCCAATATGGCCTCTTGGCCATTAATTTCACTAAGTGGAAAGTGGGCCCCACCACTAAAATCTTATTTTTTTATTTTTCTTTTCTTTTTCCACCACACACACACACACACTCACACACATATGCATACTAACCATACAATAATCACATAAAACACATTAATTAAAAAATAAATGAAATGCAAATGGACTCAACAAAAACTCCCATATGCGACCATTCCGGTAGCGAATCCCATACGAGACCATCCGGCCCGAAAAACAAAAAAATGCCAAAATGACAACCGTAACTCAATGGAATGCCCCAACCAACTCTTGGACACACCTGACACACTCCACAATGTCCGGCATGTAAAACGAGAAAACACAAAAATGCCATTGCAAAAATAGAAAATTCCAGAAAATAAAAAATAGGGAAAATTGGAAACATTACAATCTCCCCAACTTAAAAGGATTTCATCCCTGAAATCATACATGTGGGAGAAACCAACGCCGGATACTTGGAGTGCACCTCCTATTCAAGCTCTCAAGTAGCCTCCTTAACTCCATGGTGTCTCCAAAGAACCTTCACTAACGGTATCATCTTGTCCCTTAACACTTTCTGTCGTGTGTTAAGGATCTGAATTGGTTTTTCTTCATAGGAGGCATCCTCATCAATATCCACATCAACCCAACTCAAAATGTGAGACGGATCTGGTTCATACTTCCGTAGCATCAACACATAGTAAACATTGTGGATCCTGTCCAACTGTGGTGGTAATGCAAGTCTGTAGGCAACTTCTCCTGTGTGGTCTAAGATTTTAAAAGGTCCAATAAATTGTGTCGATAACTTGCCACTTTTCCCGAACCTCATCAAACCCTTTCACGAAAAAACCCACAGGAAAACGTGGTCTCCCACCTCAAAGGATAGTGGTCGTCTCCGCTTATCTGCATAGCTCTTCTGTCAGCTCTGAGCTATGAGCAACCTCTGTCTGATCAGCTTAATCTTCTCAGTAGTGTCGAGTACAATGTCGGGTCCTAAGGCCGCTATTTCGTTTACATCAGTCCAACAAATTGGAGACCTACAAGGTCTACCATACAACGCCTTAAATGGAGCCATCTCAATGCTCCCCTGATAACTATTGTTGTAGGCAAACTCAATAAGTGGAAGGTGAACCTCCCAACTACCTCCCAAGTCAAGTATACATGCCCGAAGCATATCCTCCAAGATCTGGATGGTACGCTCTGACTGACCATCCGTTTGTGGATGGAATGTCGTACTAAGGTGCAATGATGAACCAAAAGCTGCTTGAAGTCTTCCCCAGAACTTCAAAGTGAACTTGGCATCCCTATCTGAAACAATAGCCACTGGAACTCCGTACAACCTCACAATCTCTTTCATATATAGTACACCAAGTGCCTCTGCATCATATGTTGCCTTAATACACAGAAAGTGAGCCGTCTTGGTCAATCTATCAATAATGACCCATACGGCTTCATTTCTCTTTCGTGACTTTGGAAGACCTGTCACAAAATCCATAGCAATCTGCTCCCATTTCCACTGTGCTACAGGCAATGGTTGTAATAAACTCGCTGGTCTCTGATGCTCGGCCTTCACCTGCTGACAGGTAAGGCACTTAGCCATGAATTGTGTAACATCCTTCTTTATTTCATTCCACCAATACTGACATTTCAAATTGTGATACATTTTTGTACCACCTGGATGAATTGCAAAGTGGGAAGTGTGAAACTCCCGTAAGACGTCCTCGCGATAACCTGTGGAAATAACCAACCAAACCCTGAATCATAGACCTCCATCTACATGCAAGGTCCAATCCTTCACTATCTCACCGTTGGAGATCAAAGTGTGAATATCATCCAAATTTGGATCTTGTCTCTTTGACTCAATCACTCGTCCGACAAGAATAGGCTGAGCCACAAGACTGAACAGGAATGCTGACTTACTGCCAACATCATCGTCAAAACAATACAATCCCATCTCTGCCAAATCCTCAAGCATCTTCCACTTCCGAATGGCTAATCCAGCTAAAGTTCCACGAGATTTCTGGCTTATGGCGTCAGCTACCACATTTGCCTTGCTCAGATGATACTGCAAGTCAAAATTGTAATCCTCCAAGAACTTAACCAATCGTCTCTGTCTATTGTTCAAGTCCTTTTAGGAGAAAAGGTACTTAAGACTTTTGTGATCCGAGAACACCTTGAATCTCTCACTATACAAATAGTGTCTCTAACACTTTAAGGCAAATACAACTGCTGCTAACTCCAAGTCGTAAGTAGGGTAGTTGTACTTATGAGTCTTCAACTGCCAAGACCATAGCCACTACTCTACCATCCTGTAGCAGTACACAACTCAAACCGTCACGTGAAGCGTCATAATGAATCACGTAACCCAAGCCACACTTGGGTATCACCAACACTGGAGCCATTGTCAATCTTGTCTTCAACTCCTGAAAGGAAGACTCACAGGCTTCATTCCAAGTAAACTTGATCCCCTTTCGGGTCAAGCGAATCATAGGCGCTACCAAATGGGAAAAATCCTTCACAAATCTACGAAAATAATCCGCTTAACCAAGAAAACTCCGGATCTCAAAAACATTCTTGGGAGGCTCCCAATTCAAAATTGCTTCTATCTTCGACGGATTCATTGATACTCTGCCTTCTGAGACAACGTGTCCCAAAAACTTCACCTTTTGTAGCCAAAATTCACACTTCTCGTATTTGGCATACAATCGGTGCTCCCACAAAATCTGCAATACAATGCTCAAATGGATCTCATGCTCCTCCTAAGATCGTAAGTACACAAGAATGTCATCCACGAAAACTACCACAAACTAGTCCAAGTAATCATGAAAGACTTGAATGAATGTCGCTAGCGCATTAGTTAAGCCAAACGGCATAACAAAGAACTCATAATGTCCATACCGTGTACGGAAAGCTGTCTCTGGGATATCCTCATCCCTAACCCGCAATTGATAATAACCTAGTCTCAAGTCAATCTTTGAAAAACAGCTGGTCAAACAAATCATCTATCCTTGGCAAGGGATACTTGTTCATGATGGTGGCATGATTCAACTTCCGGTAATCGATGCACAACCCTAAAAAACCATCTTTCTTCTTAGTAAACAAGACCGGTGCACCCTACAGAGACACACTCGGTCGGATGAAACCTTTCATCCTCAAGTCATCGAGCTGCTTCTTCAATTCTTCCAATGCTATCGATGCCATAGAAATTGGTGCGGTACCGGGCATCAAATCAATAGCAAACTCCACTTCTCGATGTGGAGGCAACTCTGTCAAATCCTCTAGAAAAACATCCAAAAATTCATGAACAACTGCCGAATAAACCTCTTTTGCAACCATATCTTCTTCGGCTAAAAGACTAGCAAATAAGTAATCATCACAACCTCTTCTACGAATTCCATACAACAACGAAGAATGGGAATCACTCCGATCTCCCATGAAGAAGAAACAATCTCCCTCGGGAGTGCAAACTGTGACCCTTCCTCTGAAACAATTGATCGTAGCACGAAATGAAGCCAACCAATCTATCCCGAGAATGGCATCAAAGTTGGTTATCTCAAGAAGGATGAGGTAAAACACAAAAGTCCGCCTAGCTATCATGATGAAATAATCTCTCATAACTCTGCTCAAAGACACTGAAACCCTAACTAGCGTATCAACACACAATGCCCGATCCATGAATCTGACCTCTAACCCTGATGCAAGTGCAAATGATGATGACATGAAGGAATGAGATACATCAGAGTCAAACAAAATACGGGCCCAAGAACCAAACACTAGAAAGATACCTCGGAGAACTGATGGACCAGAAGACGTATCGGCCTGAACCACTGCATAGACAAGCCCCTGTGGTGCTTGTGCATGTGAACTGCCAACTTGAACACCTGACTGCTGCACCGATATAGTAGGAGTATCCCTCCTAATTGGTTGTAAACCCTGTGAAGACATGGTAGGCTGTGGTGGCGGTGGTGATCTGAAACCTGACTGAGTTGTAGCCGACTGTGACGGCCTCAACTATGATCCTCTTCTACTACCTGTGCTTACTCCCCGATTCGGACAGTCCTGAATCATATGGCCTTATTGGCCACACCCATAATAAGCTGTCAACGCTGTAAAAATTGTAGACGGGTTCATAGGACATTTGGACTTGTAATGTCCAGGCTGCTGACACCGATAACAAACAGCTCCACTCTTATCTGATCCAGCTGGTATAGGTGTAGTAGGAGCGGATCATGCAGACTGCTGCCCCTGAAACTGAGATGAACCACCCTTGTTCTTCTTCTATGATGGTCCCTCTGAAGATGATCCTGCATTCCTCTTTTGCTTCTACTGTTCCCTTCCTGCATTTCTATCCTTGGCTTCAGCCTCTAACATCAATGCCCTTTCCATTGCCTCTGAATAAACTTTGAAATACTGTGCTGTGATCAACGGCCTCATTTGGTAATGAAGGCCAGAAACAAACTTCCTTGTCTTATTCACCTCATTTTTCACTATTTTTGGGGCAAAGCGAGAAAAAGAGGTGAACTTGTTCTCGTATTCTGTCACCGACATATTGCCTTGAATGAGATCATCAAACTGCTTCCTTAGCTCCCATCTCTTGGTAATCAGAAAGTACTTCTCATAAAACAGCTCCTTAAACATTTCCCAACCCATCTCCTCAACCTTGTGCTGGTTAGTAACCGACTTCCGCCAAAGCTTAGTGTCCTTAGAAAACTTGTAAGTAGCTAAGATGATTTTTAAGTGATCATCCGTCATATCCATTGAAGTTAAATGGTTTTCCACTTGGTCTATATAGTCGTCAGCTTCCATTGGATCTGCACCACCCTCAAACATCATTGGCATCAACTTAGAAAACCCAGTGATCAACTTGAGACGTTTCTGCACTGTCGTCTTCTCTACCTGAACTACTGGTTGCGGAAGAGAAGCAATCGTAGCCCTCAAAGCATTCTGTAATAAATGGTTCACTTCTAGCTCAGCTGAACCTTCACCCTCTTCAATGGGTGCCTCAACATTATCCCTTTTAGTGGAGACACCTCCTAGGGGAATTAAGTCCCTAAGAAGTGTATCCTCATCAACTTGCTCCGCGGGATTGGAGCTAGAGCTTTCACCAATATCACCCCTTGTTGGCCTAGGTCCAACTCCCCTTGGTTCCTTTCGCAGTGGCATCATGCTATAAAACGAGAAAATGATTCAATAACGATGACACTAAGGTCCAACTGAGGACGGCTCATGTGATACCCCCGAATTTCCGAATGCGGGTTGGCCAGGCCTACGCCCGAATACCCGAGGATATCAAAACAAATTGATAATAAACGAACACAGAGTACAAAAGAATAAAGAAGAATAAATAAAATGCTGACAAGAAACTAAAATGATAATCTGATAATAAACCTCATAATATACTTCCATTAATTAATAAACTCTTCTGATACAACTGATTCTCCAAAATACAACTCGAGAATCCATACTGTGTGGACCCCTAGAAAATCCAAACTAAACAAATGACAGTAATCTAAAACAGGAAACTGAATCATAAAGGAACTCCTATGTAGCATCGGAAGAATGAAGTAGACTGATCCCCGCTCAGCACGAATAACCTCTACTCGTGACGAACACCTGAAAAATAATGGTGGGTCAGGCCCACAAACAAGTTCTACTCTACTACAGTCCAGCAGAGATCCGATACACGTATACATCCTAGTCAATCCAACAGTAACTAGTAGTCCGTATATATATATATATACATACTAAAGGAACCTCACTAGACTATAGGGTTGTCTCAACCTGAATAGTAGGCAACATGCAAAACGCACGTATAGTGGGCATGAGTACCTAGACCTACCAGGGTACACAACTACACTATATCTAGCTACACATCCCTGGCGATATACGCGCCCTAACCATTGATCCTGAGACTCAAGCTCATATCATGGCACCATACTTATATATATAAAATCTAGTAACCATCCTATCCAGTATAAATTAATCCTCCATAAGTCATTCAACTTGTTCAGCTGACCTAACTTGAATATAAGTAGGACTTAACATTTTAGTTAATCCATTCCCTTATATAATAAATTAATCATCCATAAGTCATTCAACTTGTTCAGCTGACCTGACTTAAATATAAGTAGGACTTAACATTTTAGTTAATCCATTCCCTTATATAAAATAGGTAGGACTTAACTAATAAGTTAAACCATCCCTAGAATGCCACCGTCCCATACCGGTGCATTAAATCACACAATCCAACAATTGATGTAACAATTAAGGAAATACATCAAACATTCCATAAATAACTATGATAAATATGATATCAAGTTATCACATAATAGGAATGACTTATTATTTCTTTAAACTTCCTATATCATATGTCCTACACAAACTGAATCTTATACATGATGATATTTTATTATACCGTTAAATAAGGATTCTCCATATCCAATTCATCCTACACATTTAATCTCAATTGCTAAAATATTTTAAAAGATTAAATCCATTCGTTTGTTTAAAACATTCAAATAGTAAGTATCATTATGATTGGGTCTATTTAAATTTATTAAAACCCAAACATAGTCCCTATTTAATGTTCAGGAATCTTAGGCATGTTTCTACGTTCCATCATTCCATAGATATGAAAAATACATAATTTAAACATGTAAAAATTCACATAAGAAATCAAATCAAAATCATGCATTTTATCAATTCATAACACAAGAACAGATATGAACCAATTTCATAAAACCTATGTTCTAACCCAATTAAACATGCATAATTATTTAATTTTATGTGTTTAATAAATCCTGGAATTTTCTAGGCATGTACAGAAACACGAATCAAAGGGAAAGAGATAGAAGAAGAACTTGCCTTAAACTTTCGGATTGAAAGTTAAACTTCTTCTTCCTTGATCTTTTCTCTAAAGGGTTTTCTCCTCCTTCCTTCCTCTTTCTCCTTCTCTCTTTAACTCTCTCTCTCTAAAATATATTACGTGATATATTTTCACTCATTTTTCAACCTATAGTTGTGTATTTATAGGCTAAATAATAACCCTATTCCTTTTCCCAATCTAAGTCAACTTAATAAAGAAAAATAAAAAATGAAAATATTAAAAAGGTAACTTAAAATATGTTACGTATATAATCTATGTATATCCTTATTAATTAAATAAAATATATACATTAGATTATTTATTAATACTAAAGTTACCATAATATTAAAAGGTAACTTAAAACATGTTACGTATATAATCTATCTATATCCTCATTAAATAAATAAAATATATACATCAGATTATTTATTTATACTAAAGTTACCATAATATTAAAAAAAGTAACTTAAAACATGTTACGTATATAATCTATCTGTATCCTCATTAAATAAATAAAATATATACATCAGATTATTTATTTATACTAAAGTTACCATAATATTTAAAAGGTAACTTAAAACATGTTACGTATCCTTATTATATAAATATATAACATATATACATCAGATTATTTATTAATACTAAAGTTACTATAATATTAATAAATTACTTTCCTTTATATATATATGTATATACATATATATCTATATATATACATATAGAACTATCTATGGGTAATTATCCATACCCATCTAACCTCCTATCCAAGTAGTCCATAAGACCCAATTAGTTAGCCCATTACCACTAACCATAACCATAAAATAAAATAAAATAAAACATTTAATCATTTAATTTACAATTAATTACAATTAATCAAATACATCATTTAAGCACACAATCTAATTAAACAAATAATACAAATAACACCTAGACAAAATACGAATAACACATAAATAAGTAGCCAATTAATCAAGTAACACTTAATTCAATTAAACACATAAACATTTAATCATTTAATTTACAATTAATTACAATTAATCAAATACATCATTTAAGCACACAATCTAATTAAACAAATAATACAAATAACACCTAGACAAAATACGAATAACACATAAATAAGTAGCCAATTAATCAAGTAACACTTAATTCAATTAAACACATAAACAGTTAGTCAAATAATCAATTAAACAATTAAAAAATACAATAAAAATAAATAAATAAATACCGAGACTATCCTTTTAAAATTAGGGGTATTACATTCTTCCCCCCTAACAAAAGGAATTCCGTCCTCGGAATTCGCCCTTACTTCCTTCCATTATTCTTTCATTATGTTTGAAAACTGTGAGCGAAAAACATCTTCCTATTCCCAAGTAGACGCAACCTCACTATAAGGGCTCCACTTAACTCCAATATACCAAGTGGTAGACAAGGTTCCTATATTTTAAGAAACACAATAATCATACGATGCGTAGGTTGTATCAAATAACAACGTAATCCGCCCATGTCGACAAGGGAAAGATCTACATACCTCCAAGTGTCATAGAATATACGCACAAACTCCTATGCACCCAGCGCTGATAATTTGGTAAAGCTAATTCAGAGGCGATTGCCTCAATTGCGAAACACAGTCTTCTAAAAGTCAATGTAATAAGTAAAATTTACCTTTCTCCAAAAATCGCCTTCTTCCTATATAGAAAACAGAACGAGCAAACTACTCCCTGATAGAAAAACTCTAGTATACGAGTTCAACTATTTACAACATCCTACTGTTGCCTCCCAACCGCACGCAGTTCAATATAAAGGGAAGTATCTATTTTCGACATATTTTTAAATGAAGTCGAGATCTGATTATACAACCCTTACTTCCATTTCCAACCAACAAATGAGAGGTATGCATTGTGAAAAATACAAAACCTCCAAAGTTGTCACACTAACCTCCTTGTGCCAATAATATCACAGACAAAATTTCGACAAGTGAAGTAAACACTTCCAATAGTCCATGAAAATCTAGGATATACGCCTCAAACATATCTTTTATGGTCTAATTTAATCTCTCGATTAATTCCTCCGTCTATATATATGAAGTAGAGCTGCTGCTCCAAAATCTTCATAAAGCTCATTCGAAATAGCACTTTGCATCCACTAATATGGACATCCACATGCTATAACACCACTATCACTGAACTATATAACTACTATGAAGTTCTAAAATAAGCATCACTCAAATTTATGTCCTCAAGCGATCTTTCTCAATCCACCACTCGGATTCCATATGGAAAATTGAAATTCCAAATCAATGTCGATCCTTCCCATCGACCGTCACTCCTATTTAATTCAACTTCCATATTTGTTATAAGAAGTGGCTAAAGATTCTTACGATATCCGATGATCAACTTTCCACCTTTGTAGCAGGTTTTACACTTAGGGCAATTATATACACGTCCCTATCCGTACCTGTACACCAAAACTGACATTTGATGTCGTGATGTACCTTTTTAACCGTCTGGGTGTACCAAGAAAAATTATAAATTTCCATCTCAGTCGCCCGACAGTCATATCACTATTTATAGAAACTACTAACTCCTTCTCCAGTACCTTAAACTCCATCTGAGTAAGGTAACACCTTCTCTAAGGTCAGCTCCAATATTCAAAATTGACCTCCTGAACTACCTTGGTAATAACAAGTGTTATTATTCACACTTTGCATCCATCTAAGCCGTCTCGTGATCCGTTATATTCATATGAACTGATATCTTACCAGCTCGATCAAAATAGACAAAATGAAACTGATTTAATTTTATCAGTCAACCAATATCCTATCTAGAATCCTGACCCTTGCATCAAATCAGCAATCCCTCAACTAAATCCGTGAAAATGCTCTGTCATTTCCACTTCATTATAGAAAATAGCTCCAAAAATCCAGTGATCTCTGATGGTCCATCTCTACTATTTAATAAATATTAGACTTAGCGAAAAAACACTATATTCCTCTTCCTGCCTGTCCTCCAAACATCTGCTTCATACTGTGAAGCATCATATTTCTACTAAGGTGAATAAAGAACTAAGAGTTGTGAAACTTAATCCTTGCATCCTCTATCAAATTTGTCTACAGAAAGTACCATTAGTCCGGTACCACCAGCTTTCGTCTGTACCCATTGTTTAAATTGGAGCATCTTCAAAAGCAAATTATGTAACTAAATCTATCCACCACTGATCCGTGATAAACTTGCCGATATTAAAAATCAATCGGTAATTCAATTTATTAATAGTTAACTATGACTTTAACTCAACAAAA